AAAAAAAACTTTAAATGTGCAAACTGAAGACCGGAAATAAAACGCTTAGTTCATGAACCACACGATGTCAGCCCATCTGATTTTAGCAAGCGTGTCACCAGTACATACGCACGAAAGTCTTTGAGAACGATTAAACTAGGGAGATAATTTAGTGTCAGTGAGTATCTGTTTTTCACAGGCTTTTGGTAAAACGACATTAGTGGTTTCTAAAGTACCCCGTGGAATTATGAAATGTAAATGCTCAGATCTGAGTTCATTCCCAAATTTGTGGCAAATGGATAATCGATTAAGCAGCAAATTAACCTTCGCTGGGTAAACCAACCCTTTTGTGTGCGATGATCGCATATCTGCACTGCCGACGAACTGTTCGTTAGGGTGCCTGGGAGGAGCAGCACATATACACAACGGGTCAACAGATAGAACGACTGGATATAATCACCAGAGGTGTCGCTTAATAAGAGAAAACACACTTGCGCGAGCGCCCTACGTAACCAATATAGTAGCTTGATTATTTCCCTTTAGCAAACCTGAATTACATCACGAGATTTAAGGCCGCACTCATTAAACAAAGGCAGGATCATTTTACCAAGTTCAGTTAGAAGAACAAGGAAACATTTTCATTATGACAAAATGCATGTACAACTGTATTTTCCTGTCTGATCTAGATTGAAGAAGACCCATAGCTGTGCAACGAAGCATACCAAAGTGCATCGCACATAGCGGGATAGATGGAGAGCGAACAGCATCAATTAGTAAGAAAAATTGGTCTTATTATGTTCATCCACCGTCATCAACGGTCATTTAACTAGAGCCCAGATCTTGTATGCCAGACGCACATTAGTCGTCAGTAAGACGCGAGGCGCACGATTGAAATGAAAACAAAGATGTGTACAGGGGCGAGCTGGAAATTACCGTCGTTGGCAGACAAAATTGTGGCGTCAAAGTTAACAAAGAGCATTCCTTGAGCGGGACGGTAGTGTTTCGGTTCGACAACCTCCACTGAGATTTTTGCCAACACGGCTGTGGAACCGATTTTCACAATACAGCATCCACCGTTGGCATGCCCGTGAGGAAAATGAAAGGTTATTTCTCGATACTCCTTCAACGTGCGGCCGTCCAGCCTTACCCCGGAGAGCAACATATTAGTTAAAGTTGAACACTCTGGTTCCGCCGATAACATGATTGGTTCTTATCAACCAGGAAACTGTAGAAGTTCGGAGATGAAGACTGGGTAAGTTCAGCTTTAAAAAAAACAGGAAATGAGAGATGCATTTTTGAAGGAAACGTTGTCTATAGCCCTTTAAACGACGAATAACAAAAGTACAATGGGTTAGTGCCAAAATTAATTCGAAGGCCTCCAGATGAAGCACGCTATGTAAAAGGAGAAAACAGGCATATAAGTGGGCATCCAAAAAGGTGTTCCTTGTAAAGGCGAAGGCAGACTCGAAGATTCGAACGGCTGCAATTACACGGCCGGAGAAGACGTTCTTATAGGAGATTAATGAGCAACATTCAAATATTTCACTCTACTAATCTGGGCTGGATAATTTTCAACTATAAAAGACGCGGTCACAATGAATAACCAAGCACGCGTGACATTAAGTTCCCTCCTCAAGAACTATTACCAGTTAAAACAGACTGCTACTAAGCACTGACTTCAAATACAAATTTTCCCCGATTCAATTACGGGACGTGCTTGTCCCGTTGCGCCCTTGTGGTTAAAGCGAGTACCCATAAGGGTAACTGACTTATTTATCATAAACCATCTCTACCCAACCCCAGACTCGCGAAACATGAAATCAATTTAGTAAGGCGTAATAACTACGACTTATAAGCTGAAAATGGCTACCCTAATCTATCTTGTCTTGGTATATAATCCTCCCTTTACACAATTACATGCCGCTAGGCGAATGCCCGAGCGAGCTGGAGATTGAAACTCGAGGCAAGGCGGGATGAGCATGTCCCGTAACCTCAGTAATGAACGCAAATCCGCATACTCCCGATTACAACCAATAGGACAACGCGCCCGTGGCTCAACGCAAGTACGTCCGATTACCAAAGAACGCGGGTTCGAATCTCAGACTAATAAGTCAGAGATGGTTATTCTAGTTTCAATTGTATTGGTCGGTACTTTTTCTGCCTAAAGCTCTAAATAAATACCATTATGAACGAAAAACAACTCCACCCAAATAATGTTGCTAGTAATTTTAGAGGGCGCATAGGAGTTAGGTAGGGGGTGAGGGTCTTCACCTTACGAAAAGCCTTGTGTGGTCTGCTTACGAGTTTTATTTTTAAAAACTCCCTATCGTAAATCGCGCCCACAAACCTAGTTGATATAATCAAGATCTTCAGCATTAGTAATACTCGCCTGTGGTGTTCGTGACTGGTCATGGAATTATGCTCGTCACCGTCACTAATGAACACTCGAACGTTTGAAAGGGAAAACTGCTCTGAAAACCGAAACTGCTTTTTAAAACTGCATAACCACCATCGTTTAAAGGAATTCTTCTGGACTAGCATGTGGACGCTTCCCAACAGACCGCATAATTTCGGCTATTTTCACTTCATCGTGTGATAGCTGACCTATTGACAGGCTGAAATATGAAAAGCCAGCATTAATTTTTTGAGAGTTACCTAAATAAATCATATAGATTTGCTGGCAAAAAATGAGAATCTGTGTACACCTAGTACAGAAGAGGGCACTTGGAGGGTTAATTTTAAACAGTATCCGAAAAACAGACAGCATTAACAAGAAGTAGGCGATACATATCCACATCGCTCAGCAAGCAAGCGGCCCAGCTAATGCAGTTATTTGGATTAAAATGGGACACTCAAGTGAGATGAGAATTTGATCAGTTTGGCTATATTACTACGATCTACGAAGCTTCACACGAGGTCTCAGGGCAAATAAGAAGTTTATAAAGCCTGACACAGGCCTTTCACGACAGGTAACTGATGCACATTATTACTCTCGGATAGCAGAAGAATATGAATAGTATTAGGCTGAATACGAAGCTACCGCATTGTCTGCCCATAAAAATGCAACTCCTGAATTGTATCAAGAAATGGCGGGCTTTTTCCACCAGGTAGTAAGGTCTAGCCTGCTCTCAGCACAAGTCCGGATGTCTAACCTAGCGTGTCGATACGCAAGGATTAAGGGAGTCTATCA